CGAATGTTCATAATTAATCAGTTCACCAGATATGTACATACCAACATTTTTGATAATATTTTATCCGTGTTGAATCAACTTTAGCTAAAAAAAAAATTTTTGTTATTATTTTAAATTACCGAATGTAAAATCTACAAAACAAATTTAATTATATGGTTTCTTTGGTTCATTTAATTCGATTTTCTAAAGCATAAATAATGATATATAATATAATTTGATTATGACCGCTTGATTTATTTATTTATCAATAATAATAGTTCTATTTGTAAATAACCTAACACGCAAAAATTTAATTTCTCAAGCATTTAATTTTTCATTCCTCCAAAGAAGGCTACGTACTGTATTGACGATTTACTTCTCTATGGTTAATACTGTAAATTTGATATACTTTAAAGCAACAAATTTGCTGTAATATGTGAACATTTGTGTCAACTAAGAAATAATAAGCCATAGACCTAACTTGGTAATTACCAAAAAATTCATATGCATGGAGCAAGACTATAGTATCTATTGGTAGAAAATTTTTATTTTAAAATTACAAAATTATGGTTCTCTAAAGCATAAAAGAGAGATTAAAATAATATAAATTTAAAAATTATTAATATTGAAGTAATGATGACGTCACATTGATAATCAAGTGGTGCTATTAGGTTGCTTACATCACTAAATTTTTAGGGTATTCAATATTGCACAAATACTTATATTTCTTAACAATATTATACTGTATATCAGATATGTAATTTTTTGTACAAATTTTTTACAATATATCACATAGAAAATTATTCAATATACATATTATATATATTAAATATGCAAATAATGTGCATTTTCAGGGTGTGCAAATCAGATTTTTCATGCACGAAATTTTGCATATTTTCTACACAAAAAATTTCCTGATGTATGCTCATAAACGATGATCTAGAAAAACATCTTTTAATTTATAAATTTACGAGCGTAATATTCATTTAATTTATCCACGCAAATCAACTTTTTTTCGAATAAATGACTGAGCGGTTGTTCCTTTCATTAATAAACGCAAATATGTAATTATTTAATTATAAAATTTTAAATTCTCTTTTGATAACTTAAAACTTTATCATTAAAATTTATTATGGGTGAGTGACCAACCAATTTCTGCATGTAATTAGGTTAAAATAAAATAAGGTTCATTTTTCTGTTCATTTTGATCACTTGTGAGGTTCGTTCATGATGGTCAATTTTTATTTATTATCAATATATATATATATATACACTATTCGTCAGTAGTTCTTTCATTGGTAATAATAAATAATATTTATGATGAATGATCCTTCGACTATAACCCATTATTTAAAAATTCATTGATGATTCTTTGTGAAATAAAGTTCATTGGTTCGTTTCCTTTCATATTCTTTTTCTCACCCTTTTTATTCAATTTTTTGTTGTAAAGATAAAATAAAGTTCAGATTCATTTATTTACCATTAACAAATTATAAATCTTCTTCAAATGAACGTCTTAATCGTACTAATGTATTTTCCAAATATGAGGCAAATAAATAGCTTATATTTGTTATATTTGGTTAATAATTTGTAGACCATTATCGTCTATTTTTTTGAATCAGAATAAAGTCCGCATCGATTTCACGATATAAAAAGATGTCTTATCTCTCAGGGAACATGTGTTCAATCAAATTAAGCGCAAAAGAAAGGTTCTCAAGCCAGTCTTACTGTGTACATGTGAATTGATGGAGCTATTGAATCTTAAAAAATATTCGGAAATTTTATACTGTACATACCGATTACCACAGTCGTTAATACAGCAAGGTTCGTGCTCACGTGGATGTCAATCATTGATTTTCCATAATAAAAATAATAAAAGAAATTATCAAAATGAAACCCAAAGGATACTATTCTTTTTTCTCATTTTCATTTTCCTTCACGAGTTTGGAACCATGAAAGCGAGATTGTGCGATATATAAATTACAATGGATTTACAAGTTTTATATGACTGGCCTAGTAATGCTGGCCAACCCACTTAAGGCATTATAATATTGGTCAATATTGGGCTAATAATGTAGGCCGGCGTCATCTGACGCAAATCGGAATCTGACGCACAACATATTTACTAGTATATATTTATTGCAGTTCATCGATTTTAATTATTAATAATAAATATTTTATAAGTTTTTTAAATAATAGTACTATTAAATTCTTTTTGGACAGTAATAATAAAGTAATAGGAATAAAATATAATTACTTTAATTTTTAATAGTAATATCATCATTAACTATTATTCATAAGAACATTAATTATGTAAAACGTAATTTCTGGAAAACTCCGTGAATATGATACATTTACGGGAAAATACTTGGATAATTTTCAATGTTTGAGGCTATAAATTCCGTGAATATGATACATTTACGGAAATAATAAAAAACACGGAATAAATTTTTATAGGGGTAACAATACATTTAGATTACCCTGTATAAGTTAATTTTGAGTTGTATTACTGTAACGTGTAGCATGCCTCCGTAATTTATTACGGATTGTCATCTTAAAATAGATTGGGTTTAACCATTAATGAATGTTGATCATGTTGATCACGAAAATTAAACAATAGGAATGTATGAAAATTTAATATAATGATGTCTTAACAATACATTTTTTATGCTGTGTTACTGCTTCTCTATCATTGTTTTATGCTAAATTAAGACATAACTTTTATGAATATTCTTTTCATTCCCTTACAATACTGCTCTGCCTCATCATAGTTGTCTTACAAATATATGAGAAATAATTCATTTGTTTATTGTGCCATTTTGTAGCCAGTAATCATAGAAAGATAAAAACATAGCAGAGTGGTAGAAAAGGAGTAATAATATATGTCAAAAATTGTCAGCTTTTCTGCCAGTAGTGATATCATAATTTTATCACTAAAACTATGATAAATTTAATAAATTTGAAGAATTTAATATTGTTCATTATCATATAGCTTGTCCCCAGAATATTATTTGTGTGCATAATTTACTATATGGTTCAAGTTTATTGATCTCAGTGCAAAGCAATGGCTGTTGCTAGTATGCATAAAAAAAAATAAAAATTAATTACATATCTAATTGTACAATCTAAGCTAATGTTACACATTTTTTTTATATGATCCTAATTTTAAATTTTGATGAATGATGAGGCAAATCATTATCATTTCATACAATTATGTAATGGATGTTTCACTAGTAACTCCTTTGATACTAAACGTATGTGTATATATACCAAACACTTGTTTTTATTGGACAATATTAGTGTCAGAAATTTTTTGGCCATTACATTTGTTGCACGTTTTTTTACAAAATAATGAAGATCAGTTTTTGAAATACAAATTTGGTAGTATAATTAATATATTTTTTTTTGAAACACATTCTAAACTGTTTGATTAAAAGAAAAGTTATTAATAGTTAGTTAATGAATAAATCAAGATTACAATGACAAGTAACATATATAAATGTTCTGTAACCCCTCTGAGTAAAAATTTAAAATTTTTCAAGTCTCTAAATTTATTTCCACATTTTTTACACACATTTTCTCACCAAGTCTCTAAATTTATTTCCACATTTTTTACACACATTTTCCCACCAAGTCTTTAATAAAAATGTTAAAAATGCTCAATTTAGCAAAGATGTTGATCATCTTTATGTATTTAACCTCCATCTGCTGTTGCTATTTTGTCTCATCTCAAAGTGTATCACCTCAAAATACACCATCCCAAGATACATCTCAAGATATATGGTACACTTATGAAGAACCTATAGAAGGTCTTAAACTATATAAAACTTACACACTTAAAGATGGTACTTTGATGATTTGGATGGCCTTTGAAGATGAGGAAGATCCATCATGCATGTTACCTTATTTTCATCTACGATTGATAGAGAAAACAGGACAAATAACATATATAGACCTTAATTACACTTTTCCTCCAGAAGCAGTTTGCCCCATTAATATGACTTTTATACCCTTAAACTATAATTACATAATGATAATTTATGTTAAATCAAACAATGGTGTTAAGGGAAAGTATGGCTTGATAATTAATTATAACAGTGAAGTCATAAGGTAAGTTTAGATGTTGGAACATCCTTATTTATAAAGATCAATAATAATTTTTTTTTTTTTTAGTGAAATCTACTTGGGAAATGTTAATGACTATATTACAGATAGTGGAAGATTAGAAAAAGGTTTTATTCGTATTGAAGAACATGACAAAAAAGGAATAGCAGCATGGCATTGGCTCAGTATCCCGTAAGTAGTAAATACTTTTTAAATATTTCATTATTCATTTAATTAACTTTTTCATCTTTACTTTAGAGATATTACAATAGGAAAAGTGGTGGAACTTGGAAGTGGCAAGTTTAGTGTACCAAACCTATTATCATATACCTTTGTAAATAGTTTTAATTTTAGTTTAATTGATGGAGGGATTGGATATGCATATATTCTAAAATATGATGAAATGGGATCATCGGCAACAAATGATCCAAATATCCAATACTGGAAAATTTATGTTTCATTTATAAGAGAGGGCACATATTTACCTACAACACCTTCTCTTGTCTACCAAACTACTACAAAATTAAATAGTATAGTATTTAACTCATGTACTTACAATAATGGTGTAGGATATATATGTATTGTGTCATTAAACAATACAATTACAAATAGGAATCAATCAAGGACTGAAGTGAATTATTATAGATTGGAATTTTTAACAACTGGGGCTTTTATTCAATTTGATATGATCCCTAAAGAAATAAGTAATACATCAGATAACTTTCAATTGTCAAGTTTAATTTATGGAGGATTTCTTGTGAGAAAATATCATACAAATACAACTGCAATGGACTTTTATATTTTAGATAATAATGGAAATTATAAATCAGGAGGATCTTTTGGCCCAGAGTTTGTTCTTTATAATATGTTTCCAAGAAATGGTACTTTATTGGGAATAAAGAGACAAACTGGTAATAAACTAGAATTTTTATTGAAACCTATATTTAGATTAAATAATCAAGGTAAATTTTAATTTATTTTTTTACTTTTATTTTTATTTTTTTTTTTAATAAAAAATTTTTTTGATTTATAGGAGCTGAATACGATAATCCTGTAATTGAGTCAACAAAACCAGCTGTCCATGAATTTATTGATTCTTCAATCAATGAAATTACAATTAAATATGGCATTCCAGTGAGATTATCAACTGCAAATATTTCCATATTTCAACGAAATGGTGACCCATACAAACCAAATCTATTACGACAAACAATATCAGGAAATTCCAAACTATGTACTGTTGGAAGTGATAATCACACTGTGCATATTCCAATTTTCAGCAGTACATTCAATCAGCCAAATTCTTCTTATTACGTGGTGATTGATAATAATTTTGTCATTTCTCAAGAAAGAAATGAACCTTTATTAGGAATTATTCAGAAAACTTGGATGATTTCAACAAGTAATACATTTTTTTTTTAAATTTTTTAATTTTTTAATTTTTTACTGATCAGATAAAAAAATTTATATTTCTTTATTATATTTAGAACCATTTAAGACCAGACAACATTCAGTTTCAGTCACAGGGTTACTTCGATTGAATGAAGAAGGGAGTTCAAAATTTCTTCAAACAAATCAGTCGGAATTTTTCAATAATATAATTCAAGCATTTTCCAAAATAATCCCAGTAAATGAGCAGAGGATAACAACAAATGGTAAATGGAAAAATGACCCCACTTTCCCCAAAAGAGTGTTGTTATCATTTACTATAAATGAAGCTAAAAGTGCCATGGAATTAAGTTCTAAAACAATCTTTGATAATATGGGCACTTTGATTAAAAGGAAAGGGTTTACTGCACTTTCTAATAATGAATATACTTCATTAATTGACGAAAGTGCAGCCTTTACAATAACCCGTAAGTGTTGTTCATTAAATATATATTTTTGATATTTGTAAATAATTAATATTTCATTAAATTTTTAATTCTATTATTTTACAGCAGATTATTTTGGAAAATATTTGCCACTAATTATAATATTTTTAGTAAGTATGGTAATATTATTAATATTATATTTTTTGGCACGCTGGAAGAACCCTGAAGGAAGAAACTTCGCCATATTTGAGACTGCATTAATAATGCAGGATTTGGCTGTGGATTTAACATTCACATTATTAAGGGTTAATAATACTCCACATCTAGTAATCCCAAAGTAAGAAATTTTATTTAACATTATGCTATTTTTATTATTTTAAGATTAATTTAATTAATTAATAATTTTCTTATTTATTATTATTTAGTATGGTGTTTCTCATTGTACCACATATAGTCAATTTCTTGTTGACTATAAATATTTATTTGTCTGAAGTATCAACAAATCCAATGTTCTTTACTTGGATTTCAGAGATTCCAACACTATTATTATCAATTTGTGCAATATTTTCAGCCATTGACATACTAGCAATAAATACTTTGACATCAAATTTATTTGGTCTCAAAGTATTTTCAGCCCCATTATCACAAAGATCAAGAAAGATTATACTTTGGGGTAGTTTCATAAATATTTTTGCTGAAGATATACCACAATTGATTATTCAGATATTATACTATAATAGTGTTGAGACATACGATCTTTTTCCATTATTTGTACTTATATCTGGTGGATTAGTTATAGTTCATAAACTAATTTTAAGATCGTATCACGTGATAGTGAGATGGTATCATAAGCGTGATAAAATTAGAGAATTTATTAGAAATAGACGTTTATCAGCCGGTTCTATAAGATCAATAAGGACAAATGTTTAGCATTCTACTACAGATTTTTATTTGTAAATTATGATATTATTTTTACCATCAATTTAATAAAAATATAATACTTCAGACTGCGCCATAAAAATGTATTTGTTTTTTTCAGAACATCGCTTATTGGATGAATATGAAAAATATGGTTGTCTTTAATTTCCCTGACCCAACCATAAATATTTTTCTTTTCGGTAAGCACTAGTTTTAAGCTTTCAAACAAGTTATATTATGTTAAAATTGACGCATTATTGAAGGTTTAATAAAGAGTTTTCGGAGGTCAATTTTTTTCTTAACACACTGTAAATATGTTTACTATGTAACCCAATAAATTTATTTGCCAAACGGATTTATATTGCAGGAATTATTAAAGATTTTCAACATATTTTTATTGTAATTATTTTTTTCGCGCATTGTATACTATTTACTATCAGATCACTAATATTTAGTGTCAGGCACGTGATGATCTAGTGTTGTGAAACTATCGATAACGAGGTCGTAATATATTTAACTTAAATAGGTGATAAATAAGTGTTAAAATTATCGAAAATTGACCAAAAAACCAATATTTTTTCGATACATTAAATACTGTTTGACAACAAATTTACCAATTTTTTTTTTATTCATTAATAAATATATAAAAAGAATTCCATTATGAAAAATCGTTGTAATAAATATAATTTATTTATTTATATATCGAGATTTATACAACTATGTGAAATTTATGATCTGATGGATTGGATGTGATTTTAGGATTGTATTAGATTGTATTACAAATGAGTTATAGTAGGTTTAAGAAATGATTGTGCTCGTTGGTTGATATTGGGCAGGATTTAGGATTTGAAGACTCTGTAATTTTGAAATTAGACATTAAGCATTTGAGGTCGTTGAATAATTTGTTGGCATAAATAGCCTTCTTTTTGGTTAGTGACGCGAAGCACGTCTTTATGTTTGCACGGAAAGTGATATTATTGTAGAAAAATTAAAAAGATTTTTTATTCTATTGGATTTGTAAGCAATTCGTTCAAGAAATTTATTTCTGATTAAGGGAAAAAACTTTATTTGTATTTTTCTAGGGAGAACTTTTGTAAAAAATGCGCGAGCAATATTGTACTGACTTTGGAATTTGTTGTTAATTTGTTTGTAGATTTGTATCCAAAAGCGGAAATAAATATAATAAAAAACATTGTCTATAATAATTGTATGTTATTGAACGGGCGTCAAAATATCGGCCGAAGGCCGATATAGCCCCGTTCAATAACAATATTATTATACGCGATATTAGGATTAGTACAAAAATATCGGTACAATGAATTCCGCACAAATAATCCTAATGAGCGTGTAATAATATCAAATATCAAATTATCGCATATATCACACCGCACCTTGATTTAAACTTATTAAGCTTTTTTAACTTTTTTTGACTTTTTTAACTTTTCTCCCCTTCATTCATTTATTTTCTTTCTTTTGGTTTGTTCTTGGGAATTGTAAGTTTCCGTATTTTTTTCTTAAATTTTTATTTAATTTTAACAAGACATTAACCAACGAATTTGTTTCTTTTTTTTAGGTTTTTCTTGAACATGCAGGATTTTGTGCGGTAGTATTTTTTACTTTAATTTGCTTTACTTAACAAACTGTGATTTTTCTGGTCTCTTGAGCACGAGGGAAATTTGGTGAAGAGGAGTTTTTTACACAAACAGTTACTAACAGTTCGTTTTCTTCTTTTTTTTTAGGCATACACTTCTAATTTTGAAGCATCCAAATTTCAGGCAAGTTTCCGAAAATATTTTGAAAACTTTATAAGTAAAAAAAAAAAATGATTTTTTTAATTTTAATTTTCGTAGATCTCTGACTTTGATTTCAATAGTTAAGTTTACAATAATACTATCGAAACTTTTTTTTCAGTATTTCAATATGCGAAGAGCTTTAGAACCAGGGTTGAGTCTGCGACACTCACGATAACCGCTGGGTTGTAGTGGCCATCAATAGGCCAGGTCCCTGGCAAGAATCTTCGCGCGAAAAATTCGTTGAAAGTGTTCCCTAACCAAAAATATTACATTATGAATTTTATTTTATTCCCTATTTTTTTTTTAGATGGGAAAGCACGTCAAATTATGATTTTCACAAGTATATTTCAGAATCGATATGTTGTGCACGGACGCAAAAAAGGTTAGCTTTAGCACCAGTAGCACCGTAAAAAAGCTCGGGCACGTGATCCGTGATGTGGCGACTGAGTTTTGATTGGCTTTATCTTGTATAACATTCGAGTTTTCGGTTTTTGTTTAAGATGGAACTAAATTATCATAGTAAAGATAGTTTGTTTGTATTTAAAAAATTTTATTCTGAGAAAGTTTACACTTTTACACATATTTTACATATTTAACGTTAATAATATTAAAAGTGATAATAAAATTCTTATATATATAAATAAAAATATATATGAAATATGAAATATAAGTTTGTAATGCTATAGAAATGCTTATAAATTCATCCAACGTTTATAAGAATACTTATATAGTCCATATCTGCTAAAAAACTTCATTTATAAATATTTATATAAATTTATGTGAAATACGGTAATGTAGATTTTTAGAAGATCAAAATATGAAATAAAAATTTAAGACAAAGTTAGATGACCGTTGCGAGAAAAAAATATATATACCCGCCACATCAGTCACGTGCTTGAACTTTTTTAAGTTACATTTAATCAAATAATATGGACTAATTAAAACTTGTACTACGTTACTTAAAAATTTCTTCTAGAATGATTTATATATTTACTGATAATGCTTTTTATGTTTCCAATTTTTCTTTTATTTTTTTTTTTATAAATGTCAGGTTCTTTATCTTTATTCACATAAAACTTTGTTATAAAAAATTGTACTATCATAAGTATGTGATGCATTATTATTTATCGTTACACAAATAAACCTTTAACAAGGACTCCTATAACCTAAAATTAGAAATCGATTTGCTTTCTTTCAAAATAAAAAATACTATTCTAAAACAAGCTAAAAATCAAACACAACAAAATAGATTGACAAAATTTTTTATTTTCTTTATTTTCCTTTTTAAACAAAAAACGACAAAAAAATACTAAAACAAGCTCAACCAATCACTCATCTAAAAAAACAAAGCTCGACTAAATTAGTTGTCGTTATATTAAAGATTAAAGAATGTTTGAAAAGTTTTATTCCAATTATTTATAGATAAAATACATTGTTTGTATTTAATTTGGGAGAATTCTTTATTAAAATTAATTTCGGTTTGGGTAAATAAATTCGTTTTGTTGATCATTTAAGGAATATAGGCCCAATTGAAAAAAAATCAATATATAAATGGCTTCCCAATCGTTAAGAACTACACTAATTCAGAAAATCAAAATTTTTTTAAAAAATAATTTTTCAATAAAAGAAATTTTAAATATTCAACACAAAATATCCAAACACTATAAAAATGAATTCACGTCAAATCTTCTTTGCTCTCTTGATTGTGCTTATGGCTACTATCGTAACAGCCTCTCCTTTGAATTTAAATCAATTAACTAAGAGGTAAATACAAATACAATATTGATACTTTTTAAAGAAATCTATTAATTTTATTAATTTAATCATTAAAGAAGAAATGCTCAAAAAGACAAAAGTCCATCGAAAGAAAAAAACGGTGAAGTCAAGATTACCTTTGACCAAATTAGCGAAGACGGTAAAATCTAAGCTATTAATTTTTCATATTAGAATCTTTTTATTAGGCATTATTTATTCTCATTATTTCACCTATTTAACATCATTTCAAAGCATAGCACTAATAGTTAGACGTACCATTATAAAAAATGTGTTAATATAGATTATTTTAACAACATAAAAAAAACACAAAAAAAAAATCATTCCTCTTCAATTTCATTTTTTTTTTCATTTCTTTTCTTTTAGAAATCATAAGTTTTGAAAAACTTCGATATTGTTTTCTTTAATATTTGTACCAATTTCTTTTTTAAAAAGAATTAAATAGAAATGTGCTTTACAAAATATCTTTTATCTTCCATAACTGGATAAGGATTTCGTCATTTTGAAATTTAGTAATACCAAGTTTGGTATGCAGTTTCGTGTAAATTTTAAATAATTGGACTAACCGTTTAATCATAGTTGACTCTACGCGGAATTACATCGCTGCTATATAGGTATTATCTGGGTGTTACGGAAAAGTATTGGTATCCCTACTCAAAGTGATAAATAAAAAAACTTGCCAAATTATACACCACTCGCTCTTTTTCGTCTTACCCGAGTTATCTAACTATAGTTAAGAATTAAAAATAATTAAGATTAACTTTAAAAAAATATTTTGAAACTCATCATTGCCATAACTACTATTTATATTGTATGTTCGGTATTATATTTTTTTTACTCATTTGATAGTTCATTGGTGAGGATGTAACAATAGCAGTATAAATTGTAATTAACATGACCCAAAGAAATTACATTGATGATTAAGGAGAATTGGCTGAAATCCACGTCTGCACTTTGTACTTTATATAAAATGTGTGTTTTGTTAACGAAAAAAAAAGAAATTTTTTTATATATAATAATTTTTTTTCTTACAAAACAAAAAATAACTTAGTATTTGATGTTTGGTACTTCTCTTTCATACACTTCTTTGTTCATTCATTTGATTCAATGCTGACAAATAGGCACTTCATTGCCAGCTCTTTCACCAAAATGAGGTACGGTAAATACGTATGTCGAACAAAGACAACAAAATCTAAAAAATGACAAAAAATAGTTCAAAATAGTTATTTACTATCATAAAATATGTTCTAACCTGTAAAAATCTGAAGAAACAATAAAAAGCATTGTTTCCAAAGAAATAACTGGTAGATTTCTTCTTAAGTCTTCCATTTCCAGTATTTGCTACTACAGCTCTAATGTTTTCACTTGACTCTTTAGAAACCTGAATCCACATGCCGCTTATCGGTTCTGAGGATAATGGTGGAAATATAGTAAAGATATATAATAATGGAACTGATTAGAATTATAATGAATATAACCATTAAGGGAATAAGTGGATTGAGGACTGGAAGAAAGGTTTGATATTTTCCAACAGATGGCTGGAATAGAAATTTGATTAATGCGGCTATTACATTAATCGAACCAGCAAGAAAAGATATTGATAAAATTTTAACAAATATATTAAATAAAAAGTTTTCAGATCACGATATGATAAAGGGAAAATTTTCGCTACTCTAAAAAACGAATCCGCGTTTGGACCGATTATCATATGTAGTAAACTTTTTTGGCGTCTTTAAGTGGGTTATTTTATATAAATAACCACAAGATTTCTTTTTTTTTTTTGCAACGCCCACCGGACCCAGACGCAAAATAATAACTTCTTCAAAATTTTTGCAAGTGAAGGTGTTACTTTTCTTGAGAGACGCTGCTTCTTTTTTGATTAAAATATCAATTTGATAAACAAAAAATGCAAGTACTTTTTATTAATATTTCAACTCTGTTCCTTTTTTTTTATATTACAAGTGTTTTGGGATTGTAGAATATTCAGTTATGTTTAGTTATGTTTACCGGACGAATTCAAGGCTTAACATTGAAGAGTGGCTTCATAAAATAAGTGATGTTCCATTCAATAATATTGTCAAGAGAGAATCCATAGGGTAAACATTTTTTGCCTTACAATTTTAAATGTGATCGTTTGTTAACAAATTTTTGTTTATTTGTAGTTAGGAACTTCAATCAACAAGCATCTGATAATCCTCCTCCTTATAGCAAGTGAATATGTTCCAGTGAACGAGTGTTAAGGTATTTATTTTGAGGATTAAGTTTCATTTTTTCTTAATGCTTGCTCACCTTGGAATTTATCTTTCTCTATCTGGTATTGTATTATAATTTTTCAGATATTTTCTTTCGTCCTTGACTATTTACGCACCTGATTTTTCGTAATTATTGGTTTTATTGTTGTCATGTGAAGATATTTTCTTAATATAATTTATATAAAAAATGTAAATTTTCGTTAAATTAGCTTTTTTAACCATATATTGACCATCTCTGCTACTATGTCGGGGTCATTGAGGGGTGAAGCTTGCATTTGGGTCTATTTACGGATTCCATAGATGTCTACAAGATCGAGTCCAAGGTCTTCGGCAAGAGAAGTGGCTGCGTGCAAGTTTTATGTATAAATATGGGTATAACAGATAAGAGATTTTAAATTTTAGGTTTTTCAAGAATGAATATTATAGCACGTGATCGTAAATTATTGTTTCCATCAAAAAATAAGATCATTAATCGATAAAATATATTTGTATATTGCTTTATTGCTAAACCATAAAGGCAAAATTTTCATTACTCTGGAAAAATTATTAACATCATTATATTAACATTTAAATGTTAAAATTTAAAAATGATAACGGCAATTACATTTTTTATTATAAAATAATTTATGTTGTTTCAAAATGTTTTTACATCAACAAGAAATAAATTCACTTTCCCAAATAGAGATTACTTCATCAGCTTCACCATGAATTAACAAAGTTGGGAATTTGATTTTATGTAAATTCAAGATGCAAGTAAATTGTTTGCTTAATAGCTCCCTCTATCGTTCGTTCTGCAAATTAATCAAATTGTTATTTCATTTGATCATAGTAAAAAATTTTTAATAATTATATACAGACCGGAAGACTGAAAGTCTATCAAACACTTGCCATAATTTTATTATATTTCTATTATTTTGTAAATTTGGATTTGATGACGTTGAAGTTGATGAAGTTGACGAGTTGACGCCAATTTATTTGATTAAGTTGACGCCAACGTATTTGATGATGTTGATGTATTTGATGATGTTGAAGCCAATATATGTTATTTGATGATGTTGACGCTAATGTATTTGGTACAGTTGAAACCAATGTATTTGATGATGCTGAAGGCAATGTATTTTGAGCCAAATATATGTTATTTGATGATGTTGACGCTAATGTATTTGGTGCAGTTGAAGCCAGTGTAATTGATGACGTTAAAGACAAGGTATTTGATGTTGAAGTCAATGTATTTGATGATGCTGGAGCCAATGTATTTGATGATGTTGACGCTAATGTATTTGGTGCAGTTGAAGCCAATGTATTTGATGACGTTAAAGACAAGGTATTTGATGTTGAAGTCAATGTATTTGATGATGAAGTTAACGCCAATGTATTTTGTGGAGTTGAAGCCAATGTATTTGAGGATGTTGAAGCAAGCGTATTTGACGATGTTGGAGCCAATTTATTTGATGATGTTGAAGCCAATGTATTTGATGATGTTGACGCTAATGTATTTGATGAAGTTGAAGCCAATGTATTTGATGATGTTGAAACCAAATATATGTTATTTGATGATGTTGACGCTAATGTATTTGATGAAGTTGAAGCCAATGTATTTAATGATTTTGAATCCAATGTATTTGGTGGAGTTGACGCCAATGTATTTGATGATGCTGGAGCCAATGTATTTGGTGGAGTTGACGCCATTGTATTTGATGGAGTTGAAGCCAATGTATTTGATGATGTTGAAGCCAATGTATTTGGTGGAGTTGGGGCCAATGCGATATTGAAGCTAATATATTTATTTGATGATGATAAAGACAAGGTCTAAGATGCTATGAACTTCTATTTAACAAAAAATCTCTTCAAACGTATTAATGATTTCAACCTTTTGTTATTGAACGTTTCTCGGGAGAACAAGTTCCGATAAGTTTCAAAGATCTGAACTATTAGGATTTGAACTGAACTTTATTGATAATGAAGAACGTAAATAATCTCATAAATTAATCAAAAACATTATACATACCTTGAACAAATAATCAGATTTCCTATCTTAAGATCTGATGAAACATTGAAAGCGATATGATAGTACTTAATATATCAAAATATAATTAGGATCATTAGAAAGAATTTTAATTATTCATATTCCAAGTATTACCAACCATAGAACATTCCAACACGTTAAATTGTTTCAAGTCCAATATGTTTGATTAATGCGATTTTCATCAAATTAATTGAGATCAGATCACTCATTCCAGATTATAAAGCAACAATACTGATGAATAAAGAATTTGAAATTAGTTTTTTGAATTTAAACATGAATGAATAAAAAGTACTTTTATTGATTTTGACCAAGTCTAATAATGATTTTAAAAGTTACAAGTAATTTAATTATTTTCAACAAATAATAACCCTTACAACCCAATAAATAAAAATATCTAATAATTAATTTTCCTTCCGGGCCCATAAAATATCCAACTTTAATTAAAATATTCGATTGAAAATTAAAAAATAATAAGAATTACGTTCACCTTATTCCAATTGCTTAAAAAAAATAGCATATACTCGCAAACCAATTATTAACATCATTAACACAAGAGGAGGCACATTTCTAAACATTTCGAAATGTGTTGTTCAAGAATCTTGTACGTAATTCTTGAGCAATTTCCAAGAGAAATTTCGACTTCGCATATTAAGATGGTATCAAACTAGCCATTTTTGACTACGGTCACGGATCGGTCGGATCGTCTGATTTTTCACTTTTTAGAGTCTCAGTAAAATTATGATAATAATTCTGGTAGGAATTACAAATCAGCTTAGCGCAATTAACGTATGCACAATTACAAACTCTACAATGGAAGGTTACTATTCAATTATTCTCAAATTTATTTATAAAAAAAAATGAACTTTAATTATTGTAAAGAGCAAAAAAGGAAATTTTAATTTCAATTTGCATAAAATACAATATAAAATTTTTTCTCATTCATTTTTTACTAACGTCACTAATAAATAAGTAATAATAATATTGAAACAAAAGGGATTTTCTTTTACTTAATTAATTATTTATTTATTATTTTAAAAGATACCAATCAAAAATTGAGAACATTAATTTTTGATTTCTTGGGAAATTCAATCTTCGTTAAAAGATAAATTAAAAAAAATTAATAATTTTCAAAAAAAGTATAATATGTACAATTTTTGTTTATACAATTGAGGATTAATAATTTCTTTAAATTGGGTAATTTATATATACAATTTAATTTAACAAAGAAAAGCACAGGCCACTACTAATTTCGAAATATATTACGCAATTAGGGATACCAATCAAAAAAAGTTCAAAAAAATGTAATAATAATATAATTTTTTAAAAAGTACAATATCTCATGTTTATCTATTTGTTCTCACGATAATAAAATTTTGGTAATTTTGGTAATTTTTATTTTTGATAATTTTTTATAGAAAATAAATTATTAAAAATAATAAATAATAAATAACTAATTTTTTTACAAACTTTATTGACATAATATTATTACGTAAATGAAAATTTCTTTATTTACTTATCAACAATAGGAAAAATTTATTATATTGAAAAAATTCACCCCGAAAAAAAATATTAATTCCGGATTATTAGCAAATACAGTATAACAGATAAACAAGGGTAATTTATTATTTATGTTTTATTTGTTTTAATATGTTGAAAACTAGTTTAAGTATTAAGATTTTCCGGTACCTGATAATCTTTTGAGAATTCCAAATATGGTACATTAATATTTTCTTATATTGTTCATAAGAAATTTTTTACTTGTGAAAAAAATTTAGTAAAATTGTTTAATGACAATGGTTTATTTTGTTTTACATAATAAGAAATTTTTATCCATTAACGAAAATGTTGTACAACTCTTTTAAAAAAAAACAACGGTATTTTTAAGACAAGGTGATTGAAAAAAAAACAAAGAAATTTAAAACGTCGGTTAATAAGGGAAAATAATATTATTAAAATAGAAGGTTGGAAAAAATTAAGAGAATTCCCGCCAAAAAACTTGTTTAATATATATTCCCCACACTAAACTAACGCCTTATTTTATATCACTACATAAAAAAAAAGAAGCCACAATATTGTGTTACAATACGGAAACCCTAGCCTTGCAAAAACTAATTTTAGCAAATTACAAGAATTTTTCAGCCGTGTTTCATGTAACACATCGCGTGACAAGGTCATGAATTGCGTGACAAGGTCATGAAGTGTTTGAGAATGGGAACGTTCCAGAAGTCGTTTCACATGTTTCATACTTTTTAATTATTTACTAATTGGGGAATTTTTCAAGAAAATCATGATGATTATATGCAGGGAAAACACTGGAACCTTGTCACGAGCAACTTACAACTTACATAATAATTCATGATAATTACGACTTATTTGGAACTATTGATTTTTTTCACTTACGAAAGGTATTAGTTGGTCATGAATGATGAATAAATTTAATAATTCCCGTCCAATTTTAACAAAATATCATTGGCTGTGCACATAAATAAACAAATAAGAAGCTGAAGTTGTTGTTATTGTTGATAATGATGAATGAATGAACGCTAAAAGATTAAGGATTAATATAACACAGCCGTAACACTGCCAAGAATAATTATAAAACTTTGGTAAAAAAATATGATGATAATGATTCTTTCGCCTTTCGGTTTTTACTTGAAACGAACATATTATGCAAAGCAAAAAATCGGTACAAACACTTAACATCATTGTCTCCGCATTGTGTAACTATTTGCCAAGCCACAGTTTTAAGCTATCATCCGTTTGGTAAAAGTTTGAATTAGTACTGTATTTGATTTGTATATGATAAAAATGTACGCCACACATTCACTATTTTTAATATTTAATTCATTCTCCATAATAAGTAAGAACTTATTATTTATAGGTTAATATAATATATATTTTTATAATATAAATAAATAAATACTTAAATAGTTCATTGTATATTGTAAAGTAGGTAATGACGCAAATTTGATTGCATTATTGCATAAATGGATTATTTGTTATACTTTTATGCATTGAGAAAGTATGTTGCAGATTATCATCACTAAATAAATAAATTATTTATATTACGATACTACTTTCTATTTTGTGAAATCCTCCTCGCATTTATGTTACCATCAAAACATGATTTAATCCGCCCATTTTTTACCTGGGTTCGAAAAAAAAAAATTTTTTCTCTCCTTTTCAGCTAATTAATAAAATACCTATTTTTTTATTTCGGAATTTTATTGAGAAAATATTTTATTATATTTTCTCTTTAAAAAACCGAAAATAAAAAAATATTGGGAATAAACAAATAAAAACTTTATTTTTTTTTTTTTTTTATCTTGTTACCTAAATTAGTCCTTTTTTAGTCTATGTTAATTTTTTAGATATAAAAACCTTCGATTTCTTAACAACGAAATAAAAAAAAAAAAAAAAATATTTTCTCACCCTTTTTGTAAATAATTGTATATAATCCTTTATACCTAATATAATAATTTAAATATGTCATCATCTTCTTCTTCACAATATAATTCATCACAAACATCTAATTGCGAATGGACAATAAATGTATCAAATTGTTTCGGTCAAGAATATTTTCAAGTGGTATATGGAGTAACAACTTATTTATCACTTTTTATATTCTTATGTTCTATATGGTTATTATCATGGCGTCTTTATAGTAGACCGGATACAAAATTATTTAGAATAAAAGGTTTTTTAACGTTAGAAGGTTATTTACTCATACAAATATTTTGGGGTGGTGGTATGTATAATTTATTATAGGTTTTTTTCTTTTCGGTTTTCGGTCGAAACAAGATTAGCTAAATTAATATTTTTCTTTTTCCTTTATTTAGCTCGGGTCTTCAGTTGTGTTATATTAATATATAACTTATTCCCAGAACAATGGATAGTACGTGAAGTAGTGTCGGATTTTTCATGGTTCCTTGGATTAGTTTCTGTCGTAACATATCTAGCGGGAGTATTACGTACAATTCCACGCATGTATTTCTATAGACAGAATCCACATTATAAACACGCTTTACACCTTCCAAATTTACGTGGTATAGCTGGTGTATACATTTCTTATATTTTAGTACTTGGTGTGATTAGAGTTACTTGTGCCGTGTTTTCGGGTTATTTTCGTCAATTTCCAACTAGTAATTCTAATGAAATGATTAGCATTATTAAGTCCATATATTATTGCACTTGTTCTATAAGTGCTATTATAGTAGCTATTGGATTTTTAGTTTATGGAAATAAATTGGTTGGAATTGCTAGTGAAGGTTTACATTTATTAGAAGGTGTTAGCGGTTATCCTTCAAGAAATTCTCGATCTCGTAATACTCAAAGCAATTTTACTATGGGTGCTGAATTGGAAATAAAACACAGAAAATTGCAACGTTCCGTAAGAAAGGTATATATATTTCTATATTATAGATAGTATTTCTATAATCATCTCATCCAAATGTATTAACTTTTAAATTTATTTATATATTTAGATGCGTTTAATAAATTCAGCGTTTATTCTAAGCTTTGTAGCTTTGGGTATTATCTTTGGGGTATACGCCTTCTTGAGCGACAAGATCATAAATAATATCGAAACTAGCAAAGTATTAGCTTCTGTTACAAATTGGATGCCCATGATATTAAACATCTTTGTAATGGCTGGAATCGCCTATGGGTATGTACCTTAATTATTTTAATTATTTTAATCTATGTTAATTTATGTTAATAATGTGTCTAACTTTTTTTTTTCATCATTTTGGTAATTATAGTGAGATGCGAGTACCTGATAAATCAGAACCACGATTGGAAAATATAATAATTCCAACATTATCAAACTCAATATCTGACGCTTCACAATCTCCAATTATGGAACAAGTATATTCAGACGCGGAAAGTTTATACCATTCACGTGAGAATTCTACGGATTCTGATGTTCCTTTGTTACGTTGGCCCGCTCCTGTTGTTACAGCTTCAACTCGTAGAGGTTCGGCACAATTAGATTCTCCTATAAGTATTACATCACCTACATCAGGAAGTTTTGCATCTACTTCTCCACCACAATCTCCATTTTCTCCACCACATATTTATACTTCACATGCTTCTACATCACATACTTCTACACATACTTCTATACCACATTTGCCTACACTATATACGACTAATCCACATGCGTCAACATCAGATAATGATGATACATCAACGTCCGCTTTTCCTTAAAAAATTCATACAACCTACGTTTATTTATGTAGGATTTGATGTAATATTTATGTAATATATTTAAATTTTTATTTTTTTCTTTATTTTGGACATTTAAAGGACTTCTGGGTAAATAAATATATATTGGAAAAAAAAAATAAGAAAAATAGAAAAAGAAAAAAAATAGAGGTTTTTTTAGAGTTTACTTTATTGTAGATTAGTATATTATATTTTTTTTGGGATTGAGTTGAGAAAAAAAGATGTGAATTTGATATTCCTTTATTTCTCTCAACTTTGATTCTTTATTATTATATATAGTTTTAAAGTTAATAGTTTTTGCTTTTTTTTTAAAAAAAAAAAGTAAGCTCTAATTTAGTTCCTCATATACATTCATTTTCTGAGAACGAACAATCTTTTGAAAAGAGAGAGAATTTATTTACTTTTTGAGATAAAATTATCATCGATCCCCTCTTTATTCACGAAAAAAAAGACAATCTTTTAAAAAAAATATCTATAATTATCTATAATTATCAATAGTTATCTATAATTATCAGATCAAATATCCCCCCTCTTAAAAATCAAAATTTACTATCGAATCGAAAGAACAATTTCAATCATTTATTTATCCTATTTAAAAAAACAAAAATCTCATCAATATTTCAATTAACGAAACAAAAATTTTTTTTTTTTTTTTTTAAAAAAAAAAAATTAATATTACCAAAAATATTTTATTTTATTTTATTTTATTTTATTTTTTTATTTTTTATTTTATTATTATTTGTTACTTTAGTATACTTTAGTTTAATTTACTTAGTATAATTTGAAAATTTGTCCCCTAAAAAAAAATTACGAGAAAAAAAAAAAAAAAAAATTTTTTTGAAAAAAAATATAAAATAAAATAAAAATTTTAGGTACTATTAATTAAATTATTTTATTTATTAAAATTATTGTGAGTTATAAAAAAAATTTCATGATGTCAAAAATTTTGTTTGATTGGTTAATTGGTTATAAATTTATATCTTTATCAAGTGAATTCTATTTGAGTACTTGGGTACTAATATTTTAAATTTCAAATATCGTGGTGATTATTGATTGAATGGTTTCAATCTCGACATTATACTTGTAGTACATATTTTGAACGTATAATTTTTTTCTCATTTGATAGTTTAGACAATGGTTTTATCGATTCTAAATAAATCTACTTTAGGATTTCAACGCCCGCTTTGAACGTTTCCATATAATTCGCTTAGATTTTCACGTTAAAACATATTGACTATTTGGTCGGACGATGATTGACCTTATCTCTCGCGGTTTATTCATATACAAGTTTTACTAATGCGTAAAGGAAGACTATATACTATTATGAAAGATGAAATGCTTTAAGTAAACTCATGCGGGCATATGCATGTTCTGCATATTTTACAAAGTTATCATTTTTGATAATTTTTGGTATTGGAAATCAATAACGATACTTCGGACTGTGTAACGGTACCCGTTCCTTGTCAAATGGTCTAACATTATTATTTAGTAATCGTCGTGACGTCTCGTCTCAATGAATAAATATAATAATTTTTCGATTTCAATCACTTCTAAGAATTACAAATAATAAAATAGATCGTTCAAGAATTCAAGATTTTTTTATAGTTTATTTCACATCTCGATATTTTTTACGTTAATCCAATAAAATAATTAATCCAATAAAATAATATTTCTTTATTAATATATATATATATAAATACGCTAAACTGATACATAATTATATAAATAAATAATAATTCAAGATATAATAAAAATAAAATCCATACTATTGTAATAAACTAATAAAAAAAATGTCGAATTCAATACCTTTTAAACCTGAACTAATTTAATAATTCCGTAAGATTTTTAAAATTTAAAATTCTATTGGTATAAATTGCTTGTGGATGTGATTCAGGTTTCTCTTCATTTGATTTGTTTTTAAATTTTTTCTCTCTAATTTCATCACATTCTTTTATTTGAGAACAAATTTCATTATCTTTATTACCTTTAATATCATCATTCCATTTTTTTAATAATTGATATAATTCATCAATAGTTGGTCTATTTTCTATTTTATCATCCCAACATTTAATAATCAAATCTTTAAGGAATTTTGGTGTATCTTCTAAAATCTTTGGTCTAAATCCTTTACATATTTTAACAGCCAAAGATTCATCATGAGGAATATCATTAAAAGGAATTTCTTCAGAAAGAAATTCATTCATAATTATTCCAAATGAATAAATATCTGATGCTTTTGTATATTGATATTCACGTAAAACTTCTGGTGCGATATATGGTAATACTCCATAAATTTCTTCTTTTTTATCTGATTGTGCTGGTTGACACATTCCTAAACCACTTATATATGCAGTCTTTCTAAATAGTATATTACTAGAATGAAGATTATTATGAGCTTTTCCAGCACTATGAATATTTAAAAGTCCTCTTGCAATTCCTAATAATAAAAAAATTTTTGTTCCAAAATTCATATCAGGTGAATTTAAATAATAATTTCTCAAATCTCCATTTTCACAATAATTTAAAACCATTATATACTCTTTAGTATTTGGATCTTGTGTTATTCCATAACAATGAACGACATTAAAAAGATAAATTTGAAGATAAGTTTTAACCTAAAAATAGAGCAAGTTTTTTTTAAAAAAAAAATAAATAATAAATAAATATATAAATAACAATTTTTGTAACAATCTTTTTTAATACTTAAAAAAAAATTTTTTTTTTTTTATAATTACCCTATTTAAAAGATTCGTAACTATATCAATATCATTAGAATTATTCAAACTTTTTAATGCAACAATTTTTGGATTTCTACTCCATTTTTGTTTTTCAATATCCCAATATCTAATACATCCTTCATTCCATTTAGCTGAATAAATTTTACTATTATTACCTTTTGTAATATAAGTGATATTTTGAAATTTTTCAAAAGGTATCCATTCAAGTCTTGATTTATAATAAACAGCATTAAGTTGTGATAGTTGTATTAATTCATCAATATCATTATTATAACTTGTCCAATTAATAAAATTTTTTCTTGATCTCTTAGAATTACAAGGTTGACACCATTTCCATCCTGTACCAGGTTCTTTACATTCTCCACATATTCCATATACTTTTTTTCTTTTTTCTATATCTTTCATATAAACTAAACTTTCTTCTGATTCTGAAGTTGAATCAAATGAAATCGTAACATGATTCTTTATTAAAATAAAAAAATTATTATTATTATTAATTATTATTTATTATTTAATTAATTAATTAAAATTTAGAAAATTTTTTTTTTTACGTAAAATTATTAAAAGATAACGTTACCTGATATTTTTCATGATCAACATCATTCCATAAATTCTTTGGTTCCTCCATACTAATAATTTAATTTTAATTTCAAAAAAAAAAATAAATTATATTTTTATAAAAAAAAAAGTAAAAAGTAATATACTTTTTTTTTGAAATTTGAGATTCTAAATATTCTAAATATTCTAAATATTTTAAATAATTCAAAAATACAAACAAATTTATAAAAGAAACGGTAAATGGTCGGAATTCGGAGTTAATCAAACCGTTCTTGTACCACCTAAGAAAAAAAAACAATCCAATAAAGGTTTAATGAAAAGCCAAATTAATAGAAACAATAACGATTTCAGGAAATAAATATTCTTTATTTGGGATTTTCTAAATGATAAAAAAAAAATAATAATAATACAATCAAAAAATCGGAATTCGGAGTATTTATTTAATTATGAATATAGGCCGTATGGTTGGTTAATAATCATCTCAATAAAATCCTCGTGTTAGCTTTATTATAATACTAGAAAATGAAATATAAAGCGTGTCACGCAAAAATTTCATATTACGATTGTCATATAAAATTTTTGTGTTTCGATAACTAGAACAATCAAATAAGTTGTTCATAACAAAAGATGAAACTAGTACCTAGCCAAATTAATAGGAACAATAACGATAATAATGATTCTATATCATTCAAATTCCGTTTATAAGTAAATAAAAATTAATTTCGAAGCATATTTCTTTTATTCCCACTCAGGCATATGCACCAATCTTGCTAATTATTAATTGAACTTCACATATATTTTTATACAGTATATTAATATCTAATCGTAGACTCGAGATTATTCAAAGATTTAATGTTCTATTCCTCAGCCTTCTGCCAACCTACTGCTCCTTCTATCTTTAGTTCAGTATATTCTCCGTAGTGACGTAATGATTTGTTCTATGTATACTTATGGTGGTTGCGACGGCTGAATGGCTGAGTCGATGCTCGATGATGGCAACATATTTCAAAAGCGAATAGATTTCCTCAAAATATTATTAACAATTATTCTCATCGACAGTAAAATAATAGGCCGACAACGACGGCGGTACCTTATTTTTTCCGGCATGTAACCAGTCGGGTTTATTTGTTATTTATTCCTTTTTTTTCTCATAAAATTCAAATATTAATGTGACGTTATTAACTAGAGCTTACACGGCTGGTTATTCCTGTATCCTAACTAATTTAGCAGTAATGGAAGTTATAGCGGTATACGCTATAATCTTTTGACCGTGATGACTTGTAATAGTATTTGATCGAGTGATCAATAATTTGGGAATCCTGGTCGTTTAATTATTAATTAAAGTATTCATTTAATCATAATAATCAATCATACAGTATCCGAAAATAATTTTTTTTTTTTTTATTATTAAAAGATTCAATATTAAATGTAAATACTGTATTGTATATAATAAACCGAAACTTATTTTGTGATGATGATGATGATAACGAAATACTAAAGTTTATTAACAAATAAATTATGGGATTTTGTTTAAGAGCTAACATTTTTAAGTATATTTCAAGTATAATGATTGGGTATTTGATAAAAATAATCAGATTAATGGCGGCTTATATTGTTGCTGACTTAGCCAAGTCTTTAAAAAAAAACTTGTTGTCACCTGATCACCAACGTTGAGGTGCAGCAACATTGATCAGGACCTCGAAAAAAGGGAAGGGGAGGGGAAGGGAAAGAAAAAAGAGCGAGGGAAAACAAAACATACACCACACGTCACACTCTCCCACACACACCACACACACCACATACCCTCCCACACACACCACACACCACACACCCTCCCACACACACCACACACCACACACCACACACCACACACCCTCCCACACAACCACACACCATACACAAACACATAAAAGACGAAGGGAAGTTAAAGGTATTTATATACTTTTTTTTGAATGAAATTGATTAGTCATGAGTCATAGGTTATAACTAATATTATAACATACCACAACTCCTTTTTTTCATGTGGACCGCAGTCGTTTATTTTTAGAGGATCTACTAATAAACCAATTATTCTTGTGTTGTTTTCGTCATAATTGCTGATCAACAGAGTGCTATTTTCGTAACAATGAAGATCTTATGAAATGCCTTCAGATATTTTTGTGTTGACATATTGATGAACTTTCCCCAGCGCCAAGCCGAAAGAAGTTCTGGTATGTTCTATCTCGCTCATTACGCAGTTCTGAGTTACTAATAAAAAAAAACATCCTTAATTTACATTTTGCGGATCGTAAGACAGGGCGTCGTTAAAAAGAAATTCAAAAATGGAAATAGAGCAATTAGAATCTATGAGGGGTATATACATGATATCATTTTCACAATTATTTCAGGCCTGTATTATTTCGACGCGGGTTCTCTCTTCTAATTATACTAGCATTGATGGGTGATTCTTTTGGGAACCTTGCTGTGGAACTGATTGTAAAATGTATAAAATGGGTGTGGATTCACCTTTAGCTTCACTAGCGATCGGACGGAATATCATGCACAAGTAAAAATCCTCTTAATATCCGCTTTACCGAGTCTGCCTTGGAAGAAGGTTCGGAGGAAGAAAAGGAGTTGTGTAAAAATGTGAAGCGGGTGATGGAGGTTATCGTAGGATTATTAAAGGATAGGGTAGACGTAGAGAAGGAGCCGGTGATGAAGAAGCAACGGGTTCAAGGGTATTTCAAAAAAGAATAATCATATATAATAGTCCGCCACCATTAGCATAGAAAATTTATGTATCCCGGGCTAAGTCCCGAACATTTGTATTTATTTTTCGCATGTAATAATAAAAAATTTTTCTTGATCTGCGTTCCAAATTGGAACGGACACGTGACCGAATCTTCATATCAACCGCACCTATTCCTTTACCACATGCCTCTAATTCTCTAGGTGAAAAATCATAGACATCTATTCATGTTTCTGGCAAGAAGTTCAAAACCTTCCAAAGCAATTACAAAGTGATCAGTGCTATTGAAAGGGAGTCCTGAACATGCAGAGGGGTAAATCGTTTCAAAGAGCTCAATTTATGCTTATAATTAATCTTTGGCACGATAAAAGATGTGCATCAAGTAGACATTTACAGAAAACTTCGCTCACCTTTATACAAAAAATATCATGAGGATCTGATTTGTGAATGGTGGATCGGTAGTCAAGAAAATAAAAAATGTTATTTGACTCGTGATAATATCAAAGCACCGGTAAGTCCGGGAACTTTATTTGAGGAGGTATTAGAAGCATATTCTGAGAACACAAAGTCTATCCTTTGGAGTTACGCTCTTAAGTTCTCTGATAATAGCAGGTAAAGTCGTGAAAACATAATTACATCAGATATAGGGATATCATGTGAGTTACTTTATTTCATATACAGTATTGCAAGAGGCAACATTTATTGCACAATATGTAACTATGATCAAATTTTCTTAAAAAACGTTTCGTAAATATAGTATTTTATTTGTAATTTTAATTTTAATACATTAAACAGATTTATCGATCTAAGCTAATATACTTTGCATTACCAATGATTTAAGTTTTATCATACATAGTTTCGCACAATATTAGTATTTTCTTTAAAAAACTAAATAACCTCAATATGTTTACTACAAATTCATCAACACTTTCCTGAAATTTATGAGCGCCATCTATTAATTGCCTTAAAGGCTTTTTTCAATGGTGGTTTATATACCTTTAAGTCATCAGGAAGTGTTTCAACATTAAGTTTCATTTCTGCATCCCTCGAAGTTTGCTTGTTCTTATGAAACATAACATTACTAGTATCTCTCACTTCTAATATGAACTTTATATCAGTGAAATCCAATCCGATATCCTTATTCTCATCTTTATTTAATAAGTTCTTTAATTGGTTGAGACATTCAGATTCCTTCGCTTTTATTGGCTCGTTACGATCGATATAATTAAGACCAGTTTCTACCTTATTCCAATGATCTATTCCTCCCAGCTTTTCTATTAACAATTGCATAAATGTTTTTGCCCAGTCGTGATAGTCACTAAAAAATTTCGTATATTTTATTTGATCTTTTAACCTGTTCACTTCCTGGTTTAACTCATTAACTTTCCGCTCTAACTCATCTATACGATCATAGAGACTGTCCACTAACTCATAAGTTTTCTTTAGCGTATTCTCTAAAATTCCCAAACTTCTTAAACACTCGTTCGTATTTCCGTCACTGACATATCCTACAATTTCTTCCATAAGGTTAGAAGTTTCGTCTTTTAAGGCTTTAATCCTAACCTTCAGCATTTGGCTAGGATCATTCATGGTGTCGCGTTATGTCGAGGGGAAATTTTAATTTAGAATTTACAGTGACAGATTATCTTTATTTATAAAATAAAAGAATATTATTTTTTTACAGTGACAGATTATCTTTAAGCTTATTTATAAAATAAAAGAATATTATTTTTTTACAGTGACAGATTATCTTTAAGTTTATTTATAAATTAAAAGAATATTATTTTTTTACAGTGACAGATTATCTTTAAGTTTATTTATAAAATAAAAGAATATTATTTTTTTAAGAAACAACTGTAGAGAAAATACAATGGAATCTTACTATTTTTTTTCTTTTTTTTTCGCATTGTGGGAAAGAAAGATCAAAATGTAGAGAGCTAAGATGAGGGTATTTATATATATTTTCTGAATACAGTGACATGGACTCTTATGGCTTGTAGTGACGTAATACAGCAAATAAGATACTTCGATAAAAATTAATAGTTATGGTGAGTATAAAAAGTTGCGTAAATTTACACAAAGATGACTCATGATTAAGTATAAAATTTGTCTATATTATACTATATAATATATATTTATCATATTCATATAGCTAAATCGCCTTATACTTTTGATAAAGAGTGTATAAAAAACTGATATAATTGATATTTTATCTTGTACAGTTAGTTACGAGTGTTACGAGTAAAATACAAAAGACAAGATTCCGTTCAAAGATATCGATACGCAGTATATTATAATTACGTGATTTAAATCAAAATTATTGGCCGGTGTGACAAATTATATGAAGTCACGTGAAATCTTTACAGAATTATACTTCCTTTTCATTTGACAAATATAAACGACTTATTTTATTTTCATGAAAATTTTAATGGCATCGGTAGGTGTCGTAAAATGGGTGAATATGGTCAATCAGATGCTGCACAAATTTATCATATTCAATTATTATTAATAAATAAACGTAATACTACTTACATCTTTTTCATCTTTTTGATATATATTTTTGAGAGACAGCGTGACATTATCATAAATTGCCAAACTCAGGTACAGTTTATTATTTTATGTTGGCAATTCTTCACAGAATTCTTTTATATATCAGAATTTATTATTATAACAAGTTTTAAAAAATAATTCTTTGAAAATTCGATTTATAATAAAGAATAAATAAATAAGATTCTGAAATGTTTAATTATTGCAATTATTAGAAATAAAACACAAGGATTTGGTAAAGGATTGGGTTCATAAATTAAAGTAGTATTACATGGCCTGCCAAACGTGAATCTGCTTCATCGTATACTTAGGAAAATAAAAAAATGTTTTATAAACTAAGTTAGAATTAGAAGTTTAATTATACATAAAAAATTAATTCTTTATCTTCAACAATTTGTAAAATTTGTAATGTTAGAAGAGAAGCGACTCTTATGGCTAGACGCATTTTCACCATCCCGTAGTAACTCGATTGTCCAACTCCGGTCGTCATCCACAAAGAAATCCACATATCCACTTGACCCCCAGTATGTTCCAACATCTCACTTTCTCCGATACTCAAACATATGACCCTGATCCTACTTTTATAGGAAGTGTAGGTTATATTTCGTATTCTGTTTGTTGAAATAGATTCGTTTCCCAATATTTTAATACGTAGACGCCGTTTCCATAATATGATTTACGGAACCGGTGTCGGATATATGATTTAACGTAGCAATTAGTCCTTCAGGATCGCCAAAGCGATGCAACAATTCTATGTAAATGTCATAACTAAATTCTATACGGCAATGTTGACCTAAACCATAAAAAACAGGCGAATTAATTAAAGATGAAATGAAATGAAAATTATTCCATTAGTGACAATATTTACCTTCTATAACGATAATGCCCATTGCAAATTGTTATTTTTTTTTAGAAAGATTTTTTATTAAATCGTATATTAATTACACGTCAAGTGAGAAAGTTGAAAGATCCAGAAAAAACATAAAACGATTTTGTAGATTTATCGTCCATCAGGATATATTTTAAGTCGTATAAAGATAATTTAATAATTAGAATCATCAAAACTAAAATCCAAATCAACTAATCATTGGAAAAATAAACAAATTCATCGAAATCATCAAAATCGTCAAGTTTGTTAAATTCATCAAAATCCAAATCATCAAAAACATCATACTCCGAATCCAAATAATCCTGCACCATCATCATCAAAAAATCGCCACGCCATGATATCAAATTGTTTGCGCCGTGAATATCAATGATATTGTAGAACTATTGCCCGTTATAATAACGTTTGCCACTACTAGCTACAAAAATAATCCTTTATTAAATACAATAAAATATTAATATATCCCGAGTTACATTATAAAATAAGGTGATAAAGGTGATAAAGATTAATTCATAATTCTGAAACTAATTCCCATATTCTAAATCTCAAAATCAAACTGCGATAGTTTACCCTTATTAATAACTCCAATAAACCATTAATCAAAATAATTAATGTGGCGCTTTTTCATCATAAGAAAAAAGGCAAAAAGAATCGGCCAATCGAATATAAGATGAAAATTAAGGATCAAAAAAAAAATGGTCAGTCAACCCACGGATCTACCATATATTTATATCTTTCTTAGTCACACAATATTCCCCATAAAGTTACCCATATAAATGTAAATCAGAATAATGTGACCCCAAAGAAAAATAAACAGAATAGTTTAACGTCATATTTTTATACACTTAAACTAAATATAATACTGCGCCCCAAAATTAATAATTTCACTAGGTAATTTCGGCCACAGCACGGCCCTATAGGTAGGAATGGCAAAAATATTTGAATAAAAATTTAAGCATTTTATTATATAATAGATAATATATATTAATTTTCAATAAAATTTATTTTTTTCATCATTTTTCAAACAGTCTTTGCTAATATTTTAATATTTTCTAATTTTTTAGACACTTTATTATATTTTCTACAAAATTATTTAATTTTCATCAGTTCAATAAAATTTATTTAGTTTTCATATCTAATTCCTTTTGAATTCTTAAATTTTGATAGAGAGACACAAGTTTTTTTACTCTGTTATTATTTAATCGTGCATGGCAGTGGCTGAAGAAGTTGGAATTGAAAGGACCCGGCAGGCGAGCTCAACCACAATAGGAAATTTATATGTGAAATTTGACTTCCACCAACCAATTGGGCTTGAATATTTAGCAGATGCCCAGAGTAATGCTCCGGAAAATTCATCAGTTTTAGCAATATATTTTTGCATGACTCCATAAATCTTTAATGTAAATAAAGTGTATTAGAAAGTATTAAAAATTATTAATAAAGTATTCATAATTCTTACATGTGCCGCATTTTCAAATGTATAAACTTTTCCAAGATATGGTAAAATAATTTTTTCAAAATCATCAGGTTCCAAAGATTTGCCACAAAAACTAAAAAATAAATCTGTTATTATTTATAAAAAAAAATAAAAATTTTACAAAAAATATAATATTACTTTGGATCTAAAAGATTTGCAATTGCCATTGCAGGATGAGAAGCATACTTAAACCATTGGTTAATTAGATCATAAACCTTCATTTTGAAATCTAAATCTAATTTTTGCATATTGACCGAATTTGAAAGGTTTTGCCATTCATTATACACACCAGAAAGTAATGATGTATCAGATTCAAATAAGTGTATAAGCCTGACAAATGGTGTTAAAAAAGAAGATAAGGCATCCAAATTTTCCCATAAAGGATTGCCTAAAATTAGCTCTCGAAGATCTTGTGGAATCCTTGAACTGATTTCAGGTTGCACTACAGACATTTGAAGACCCAATTTATTCTTTAGAATAGATTGAATTGCATCCAAACAAGTTCTCCGGCGAGTATCAACAGGTTGAACTAAAGTAATCGCATTTAATTGATCTAGCAAAATTGCTTCTGCATGAAAGAAATTGATGATTTGTTTTACTTGCGTCATTAATCCTTCTACCCAATTAAGTTTAAGAATATCTTTAATTAAAAGATTCCCGATATGTGCATTACATCCCAGACAAATTAATTGTGGATAATCTTTATTTAGCAATCCCCAAGCAGCTCGCATTGCACTAGCATTGTCGGTTATGACACCAGCAAATTTTGAAGGACCAATAACTTCAATAATAGACTTGAATTCACAGTAAATAAACTCTGCAGTATGTGATTCTACTCCTGTATATTTTGTACCATAAAATACTGGCTTTGGGAGGCAAAGGACAAAATTTAAAACTGATTCTCGTCGAATATTTGACCGTCCATCCGACGCCAGTGTTATATTCGATGCTTGTTCTAGAATTGTGTTCAAGTCTTGCCGCTCAACTTGATATTCTGCATCTAGTAAATTGTTAGCTAGATTGCGACGATTTGGGCTAATGTAAGCTGGTTGTATTGCTTTAATGAATTCAAGCCAATAGGGATTTTCAACTACTGTAAAAGGAATACCAGTTGAATAAAAAAACCTTGCCAACTTTTTATCTGCATCCATTTTGTCCAATGGTTGCTCTTCTGGATTTGTTGAATCTGAAATACTGGTTTGATTTTTTGACATGATAAAACTTAAAGAACCTTTTAAATCTTCAGGAAAACTACTACATTTCATCAAATGTTTTTTTAATCGATCAATTAAATCAACAATGTCATTTTCACAATAATTACATTTTTGACGAGGTGTTTTTCGACCACGTCCATCAACTTTTGTAACTTTTTCAAAGTGCTTACGGACGTCTTCTAATGGTGGTCTTCCTCCACGAGACATAATTTTTAAAAAAAGAGATCATTAAATGTTTCTTAAAAATACAAAAAAGGTTGTTTATTGATTAAAATATAATTATTATAATAATCATGTCAAACTTAAACTGTAAAACAATAAAAAACTGATTTAAATTGTTTTATCTTGTTTTAAATCACGTGCCATTCTATCTATGCTGATTTTATTTGACCGATGTTTTCATCATCGTACATTTTTTTTTTTTCTTCTAAAAAAAAAATCGATATTAATAGTTTGCGTACAATATTTATATCAATAAAGTAAGTTTTAATTTAATTTTTGTTTAAGATATAATTAATAATAATATTACCTAATATAATATACAGGTATTGACATATTGAATTAGCCATACGATATTGTTTGCCTTAGTTAACGTCACGAAGTGACGTTAACCATAACACCGTACAAATATCCATAAAAATGACAACCATTTGAACTTCTTTATTTTCATTTTTAAAGATTATACATTATGATCAACTTAATTGAATTAATCGTAGGAACTTGTATGGTAATTGTTATTTGGCGTGAAATTTTAGAACCGTTACTCTGGGCCTTATTGAGAATTACAGCAACTTTCCGTCGAATTCTTAATTATAAAAGCGAACCTAGCGATCCTGCGATACGGTAATTGTTAATTTATTCTAAGCACCTCGTTTGATGTTTTCAGTAGCCTAATATTTCATACTCTCTTAATATGGAAAGTTTTTTTGTGTCACCACATATTTCACCTGAGGATTTTAATCGACGTAATAATTAAACATCATTATTGTTTGGTTCTTTAAGATTGCGATAATTTCTTGCTCATTTATTTTTTTTTTAAAAAACAAAGTGTCCGTTAAAGAGCAGGAAGAAATAATTGACGATTTTACTAAAGATTTCCATAGAAAATTTCAGAAGAAATTCAACGTAATTATTTGTGATATTGTTCAAAATATTTGGTTTACTGGTTTATTCATCATAGATTTCTTTTGCATTTTAGGAGAAATTCAGGAGGGTACATTAACTGATGAAATGATGTTCGAGAACGGTAAACACTTTGAACCTTGTGAATTTTGTTCTCCCCAAGATTGCGATTGCACTTATGAACAATATCAATTAAAGATGGAAATGATGAAAAGGATGGAAAAAGAGGTAATTGTTACCTAGTTTCTTAATAATTAATAAACTTTTGAATTAATCTATACGTATTTTTCAAAGAATAAGTGAAATGAATATACTGTAATATTATATAAGTATTTAGCTTTTACCATAAATAAATATATTTTGCAATATAATGCTGACTAAGATCTGCATAATTTATCATAATGACAAGTATTGCTTTTGATATACCGCCTTGACATCGTGCATTGTTAAACTAGCCAGTTTATAAAAAAAAATTAACGTGATCATTATGGCAAAATGGGATTGAAAGAGATTTGTAAAAATAAGTTGTCCTAATTAAAATTAATGTTTCAGATAGTTTAGTAAGACAATAAAGTTAGATAATAACAAGTTAATATTGAACTCAAAAGGGAACTTAAAGTAATTGTTAAGCTTAATCAAAAATTAATAAAATTCGCTGTTTCCTGTTTCCACTACTGTTTCTATACCAAATTACCAATTACGTCAAAAAATGAGCGTTACTGTGTCTACTAGAGTAAGAAATTTAAGGAACAGTTGTTGATACTAACGAAGATATTCGGTTTGGAATATATATTAACACATACATCAGCGTTGTTAAAAACCTACTGAAGGGATATCTCACTAAACCCACAATTCGAAATAGTTGATAAGTGTCCCACATTCAGCAGATGAAATGGAAGTTACATAATTTTTCTATTTTTACCGTATTATCCCATTATTTCTCATTGTTGACATCGCCACTACCATGAGATTGCTTCCAAAATGATTGAGGGCGAATTATTATTTTGTAAAGATTTGATTTTAACTTTTCTAAATCATATTTTAATAAAATCCAAAGATTTCGAGACTACTCGATTTTTCTATTATATTATCAATTTACTTTGATCAAATAAAATTAAAGATCTAAACAAATAAGAAATATTTTAATAATATTTAAATATCATAATTTAGTAGATCAGACCGGGGCATAAAAATATGTTGTACTCTAATGAAAAAATCTAGACTTCTATGTGTAGTATTATTTTAATATTATTTACCTTGGCCACTAATTATATAATATTACTATAATTATTAATAATAAATGTGGATTTATAATACCTGATATTTATTACCATCAACTTCCTTCCATAACCACTTCGGCTCGTTTTCCATACTAATTAGTTTGAATTATATGAATTATAATTTTACATGTGACTAAGATAAATTTCAGAATTATAATACGTAAAAAAAATTTTAATGGTCGTGTATAAAAATGCACAAATTTGTACTACATTTATATTAAGCTTAAACTGTTACGCGGGGAAACAAATAGTATTAGACTAAATACGGATAATGCTTGTTAAACATTATCTAAAAATTATTTGTTCAATTTGATAAGATTACTCATCAAACCACTACATTCATGTACTGTATATTTACGTAAATTAAAGAGTGAGATAATTTATTTTAGAAAAAAATTAATATTTGATAACTAAAAAATTTTTTTCTATTTTCAAATATCATGGATTATTGCATGATATTTAAAAAAAAGTTCTTTTTTAATTGAAAGATTCAATATTAAACATAAATATAAGTATATACATATATACAGTATATAACCGAACCCATCGAAAAATGTATATACAAAAAAAAAAAATAATAAAGAAGAACAAACTCCCACCCATAAAAATAAAAAAAAAATGATAATAAAAAAGAAGAATATAATATACTGATAATATACATTGATACAAATTAAAGTAAATAATTGTTTTTTAATATTTTTTTTTTATAAATTACTGTAAGTAATTTTGATAAAGTTTTCTTCTAAGAAAAGGTGATACCGACAGAACGTTTAGTTAACTATTCACGTTTTTCCATTGAATCTGATAGTCTTTTCTTTCATCAGCACTCAAACGATCATTTATATCAAGTTTATTCCAAAGAAGCTTTAGCGGATGCTTCCGCTATGGGACTTATTACAGTAGTAGTAGGTGATACTGTAGTACTAGCAGTATATGTGGTAGTTACTATTGTAGTAGAAGTTGCGTCAGATGTTTCTCTACTTACACTCGCACTATTATGATTTCTTTTTGTCATAATTGTTCGACGTGATCCATCAGAATTTTCTTCAGCAATTAATCTCTTTTGAATGATTTTTGATGTTTAATATGTCCTGAAATTCTTCTTATACCTAAATTACTTGAAGAATCATTATTATTAATAATAGTATTCGTTCCTACACTTATTCTTATACTACTGCTACTTTTATTACTTATTCTACTACTCCCGTATTCTCTCCACTAATTCGCTTACCATTACCAACATTACTATTTTAACCTTTTATACGCTACATTACGATTTATTTTACTACTAGCTTATTTTGTCATTGAATTCAATCCATTTGAATTAGAATGATTAAAGTAATCAATATTATTGGTATTTGTTGATGACATTGTGTTTGTTACTGGTGGAGTTGAAGAAACAAATAATGACGTCAATATGTTAACGTGGCACCACCACTTCCTCTTATCAAATATTCATCATCACGTCCATTCTTCTTTCATCTCGTCTTTTCTTAATCATTCGCTAGTGCAAATCTATTCGTCATTGATGTGTTTAGTGTTTTGTTTTCGATTTTATTGCTCTAAAATAAAATAATGATTGTTAATTGTTATTATTGTTGATATAAATGAGTTAATATAACAGTATGATAAGTAACTTACTTGCATATGAAAAAAAATTGATGTAAAATCTATACGATTACGTATGTAATATTCATATTATAATTGAATAATGTACGTGATAGATGAAATACCCATTAATGAATGACATTATTAAAAATATTGTCATAATTATTACTAATGAAGAAATTGTCAAACACAACCAGGAAGAAAGAAGTGATGAAATTTTGAAATTTCTGTTAAAAAAAAAATAATAAATTTTCTTTTTAATATTTAAAATTAACATGTATTCACTAACATAAATTGCGGCACGTCTTTAAAATTGAAACATTCCGTTGCATCAACCAATTGAATCTTCTGTAAGTTCAACCCAAGTCACTCAGTAGTTGCCTAACTAGCTATTTTCATTCAACAAAATATTAACGTTAATATTTTTTGTCCAATTTTTCTGAGAAAATTTTCTATAGTTCGCAAGAAACATGTTGAGCCTAGTTTACCGCAAGACACTTTCGCATGATGGAAGAACGAAGTTACCAGAAGTACTACTGTACTAGCAGTTTCTTTACGTTTTAATGCTTTATATAAATAATTTATACAAATTATAAATCAAAATTATTAATCACCCATATTACCCAAATTAAATTATGTATTCTACGGACTCGCTTTATCTAAATCATTAATATCTACACAATGTCCTGTTCTCCATGCGAATGAAAATAATGTTGATATTGGCGATATCAATAATAAAAATCTATTATATCTACTAATCAATTTGGTGGACTTTTTTATTACTATTATTTGTATGTTCATTCTTTGATTATTTATTGGAGTTGTACATGCTAATAAGAAAAAAAAGGAAGAAAAGATTAAGAAAGATTAAAAAAAGAAAAAAACATCTTTCCTCATTTTTTAATATGACTTACTTATAGGATACATTAACTCTAATCCAATGGCTAATTCTCTACTTAAATCTTGACTATTGATCGATCAAAAAAAAAAAATCAAAAAAAAAAAAAGATTTCAGCCATAGTATAATTTGATACGCGTCAAAAAATACGTCTAATATATAAATCACAGGATGATGACAATCCCTGGCCCTTATGGAGTGGACTATGGTAACGTACCACCAATTCTTTAACAATGGGAGACAATGGTGTGAGCTGAAATAGTCCCGGCAAGAGGCCATGCTATATTTGAAATTTTCAGCGTATGGCCTCTGAGGAACCTATATTTGACCGAGTTTACAAACGCAATCCACTGTCATTTATTTGGTGGAGATACTGAAGTACAAAAATTAAAAATTAAGAAAATGATCAATTACTACACCTTACAAGTCACGGCATATTTCACTTTTTTTTTTCACTTACACAAATTAGTAAATATGATTGGATGAATTCTTGAAGTTTTGCTCTTAAATAACCTGTTGAAGATAACCAGAAGGATTATTTCAATTATAATTTCTACAATATAAAAATCCCATCGCTATTATAAATATGTACTGTACAGTATAGTGTATCAATGTCCAATGTAATGCCATTAATAAATTTTCTTCTTTACATCCTCTAAGTATTATTAACTAGTAATGATGATGATATTAATATAGTATTCGTTAAATTTTTCGTTTCTTTTTTGATATCATAAAGTTTTTACAGATTAGGACTATCTCTGTTAAAAATAATAATAATAATAATAAATTTTTTTAAGGGGAATAAATTATTTTTACACCGATATTAGCGTTAGTACACTAAATAATCGAAATTCAGGAAAAAAAAAAGAAAATTCAGGATTAAAAAAAATAAATAAAAAATTAAATATCTACCTTTATATGCTTAATACAAAGCAAAATGTGGTGAAATGATTTGATCCTTAAAAAATTATCATACCAGTTTATAAAATGAACCAATTTTATTAGAAAAATCGGTATATCATGAACGGTAAATGGTATTTCGTAAACGATGATAATAAAGATGCAAAATAAGGTATATTCTTCAAGTTATCGCGAGGATGGATTTATAGTCAATTTAGGGATGATCTCAACATTATCACTTATATAACCTGTAGAGTATCATGTGATTCATTGCAAATAACTTTTTTAGGAAAAGTTTGAAGGTGTTCAAAATTTTTTAGGAATCCGAAAGATATGTCGGTAAATTTTTTTAAATTAAAACTTTTCATCATTAAGCGAAATGGCACTTCGGTAAAACATTCTTCGGCGAAATTGCTTCGGCGAAATGGGTTTCGGTGTAGAGGTTGGAACCGACCAAAAAAACCTTAATCGATTAATAATCGATTAACCAAGGGCCCTAATCGATTAATAATCGATTAACCAAGGGCCCTAATCGATTAATAATCGATTAATATTAAAATATTAAAAAATTTTTTTTTTTTGACCGCAGATTGCACCAAATTGTTTTTGATCATACATTTAGTTATAAGAAAGTCTTATTTATTATTATTATCATTAAAAAATTAATACAAATTCTTCCAAGTTCGGAGAACACGAGACCAAAAATTCACAGCTCTGGGACGCATTAGATAATTTGACCAGAATTATGGGTTGATAATTTTAATCGATTAACCGATTTTTGAGATACCTTAATCGATTAACCGTCTTAGTCGATTAATTAATCGATCAACCTTAATCGATTCCAAACTCTATTTCGGTGAGATGAACTTCGGCGTACCCGTTCCTTAATAATTCAAGTATACTTTAATATTCAAAATGTCAATAAAAATTTTCACGTATCAACAATTGTGCTCCGTAGTTACTTTTTAAATTGATCGTCAGAATTTTCTAAATTCTTAATTCCTAAATCTACTAGTTTAACGTCATCTCGGATACAATTTTAAAATACTAAAAATTTATACACTAATTCTAAATATAATACTACGCCTCATAATTAATAAATTTACTTAATATATTACGGCATTACACTATGAATTAAATTGTGAAATGGGAAAACGTATCAATATATAGAGTATTCCTTGGCTTTTTAATTTTAATTTTATTATTTATTATAGATTATAGAAGAATATAAGATTATAGAGGCTATAGAAAATGTAGTTTTTTTTTAAAAAATAAAACAATGTCAGGAAATAGCATAATAACCTCAATAACAAAGTCTGCACAGGATAGAAAACTTCAGGATAATATGATCATGGCTTCGGTGGATCTTAGGTTTAAAAGTAATATTTCTCCTTCATATAACTTACGTGTTCCTAGCTGACTAGTTCATGTTTATGACATTACTTGTTGGTTCTTTAGGTATAAATCTTTGTTCTTGCAGAATTTAATATAGCAAGATTAATAATAATCTGTCGTATATTTTTGGCATTTTAGCTTAATCAAAAAAAAATATGTATATAGCGAATCATTTTCTTGATATAAGAAAAAAGATCGATTAAGTGATTCAGAACTTTATTAACCCTTCTTTCTTTAACAAAAAAGTTTCATTATTTTAATAAAAAAATTCACTGTTGTTTTAACGTTCAATTTTTTATTTAAAGACAAAATAACCTTTTTTATTAAAAACAAACCATTTTTATATGATAGAAACGGCCATTAATGAGTCAATTAAAATCAAATGAAATTTACAAAAAATTTGTGCTTGTTTAAGAGCTAACATTTTCAAGTATATTTCAAGTATAATGGTTGGGCGATTTATTTACATTTTTAATTTAAATAATTATTTGATAAAAAATGATCACGGCTTATATTGTTGCTGACTTAGCCAAGTCTTTAAAAAAAACTTGTTGTCACCTGATCACCAACGTTGAGGTGCAGCAACATTGATCAGGACCTCGAAAAAAAGGGGAAGGGGAAGGAAAGGGAAAGGAAAAAGAGCGAGGGAAAACAAAACATACACCACATACACACACACACACACACACACCCCTCCCATCACACCACATACCACACCCTCTCACACACCACACACCACACACCCTCTCACACACCTCCCACACACCACACACACATAAAGGACGAAGGGAAAGGTAAAGGTATTTATATACTTTTTTTTGAGATGTACGTGAATGAAATTGATTAGTCATGAGTCATAAGTTTCCAACAAAAAAAAAAAAACATATTTTAATAAAATCCAAAAATTTCGAAGACTACACGATTTTTCTATTCTACTATCATAATACGATTATAGAAAAGCTTGATCAGAAAAAATATTTATTATTTTACTTTGATCAAAAAAAAATTAAGGATCTAAGCTAACAAATAAGAAATATTTTAATAATATTTAAATATCATAATTTGGTAAAAATCAGACCGACGTAAGAATATGCTGGTAAAATATGTTGTATGAAAAAAATCTAGACTTCTGTGTGACAACATTTTTTCATATTATTTGTTATTATTTAATATGATTTACTTTGGCAATTAACTTTCTATTATATAATATCATTTATACTCAAAGAAAATGTATGTAAGTAAAATTTGGACAAATATAAATTTCTAATTTTTTAATTTACCCAAAAAATCAAAATTACATAAATTTTTTTTTGGCGTAATATAATTTACGCATGATGCGGGATATTGTTGTTAATCATTTAGTATCACTCCGAAAAATTTCGAGACATGCTTATTTAATTTTACTATTGTTCATTAAATGTTCTCATTAGACATTATTTATAGGAAATGATTAACATGAAACATAAATTAAATCACTTTCTTTCACGAGATACAGTATTCTTTTTTATTGTCCGTATATATACAATAATAAGGTTTGGTACAAAATTTTTTTCGTGAGTAAATGGACGACAGTATGGTACATACTATGCAACATTTATATTTATATTTATATTTCACTTCACCTTTTACAACTAACCAAAATATATCACAATATCATACTTACATATTTAATTATTATTAGCCGATATATTTTTTTTTTAAAAGAAAATTTATTTGAATGTTGTCGTCAATATAAATTTTTAAAAAATCAGGCGTATCTGATTTTGTTATTAAGTACTATTTTTAAAATCGGGAGAAAATAATTAGTACAGATGGATTTTGTACATAAATTTATAAAAATAGACGTATTACTTACCATGCGTCATCAGTAATGATTCTGATAGTTCTCTTTGAAATAAATACATGACTTAATATACAGTATTTAAATAAATTGGACGTCTTACGTCTCGAAAAAATTACTTATCGTATGTTAAATAAACTCAGATAAATACATTATTCGTAAAACCATACTGTAAATTTACATTTTTAATCTTAGATTTGTATGTTACTCGATAAATTAAAATATTTAGAACATCTTAAAATTGCTTAATAAAATTTTTCAAATATTTAAAATTTTTTACATATTCCTTTAAATTGAATGATTATTCATTAATAATTGAATTACTATTTGATTACAATTTATCTTTCTTCAAAGCTTATGAAATGAAGTTCTGAATAGAATTTTTTGTGATCAAGAGTCGATATATAATAAATTAAAAGATATGGTTTCGATGCCATCAAATATTATATAGATTAGTGATAGTGGTGTACATTCAATAAATTTAAAAAATTAACAAACAAATATAGAAAATAACGAAAAATTATTAAAAAAATTAAAATAGATAAAATAACAAATTAATTATAAAATTATGGAAATAGATGCATCGGTACAACCTTCGCAACACCCATACTTTTCATTGTCTTTGCAACTTCATTGCATTTGTAGCAAATTTCCTTCTCCTCCAAATCCTTTAACGTGATCGTTAAAGAGTTCAACTCAACGGAGCAATCTTCTCCGCGCAGGGCTTCCCATGGTGTGGCTTCTGAGCAATTTCCCCATGGGTGGCCGCATATTGATCCGGGTGGCATTTCAACATGAGTGGAACCTTTTATCGAAGGTATTACATCTACTCTTGCAGAAGCCGCTGACGCGTTGTTTTGTTGTATATTTTTTCTTGTCAGTTTGTGTTTGGGTATTCCAATACAAATTGAGGCTCCAAACATAAAGCGATCCTTAGAAATTGTAAAATTTGTTGTTGTTGGAAGGTTACATAACGCTTCCATCAACTTGAACTTCACAGCAAGGTTTCTTAAGTCTTCTATGAGTGATTCATTTGTTATATTTTTCTTTTCCTGTACATAGCACATCCATAGAAGACATAACGCATCCCAAATAGTTATAATCGGAATTGGACGTAAATCAGGGGGATTAATTATTTTCCCCTTTAGTACCAAAAGGTGTGTGAATTTTTTCTATTGACCTACGTAAAAAAAGTAGAGTCTACTGTATGTATATCTTAGTGAATTAAAACTATTTCAACAATACAATGTTGATATTTTGTTTTAATTATAATTCTGTTAAAGCTTGTCAGTTAGGCCAGGCCAATAGGATTTTCTGTTTAACAAGAATTTTATAGAAAAAAGAGAGGGGGGGAGAGGACAAAAAATAATTTACAAAATTTTTTTTAAATTATTTTTTACTATTTAAATTTTGAAAATATGAGGGGAGGGGAGGAAAGAGTAAAAAAAAAAAGAAATCTAAAAATTAGATTTCCATGGGAATATTATATAAAAAAAAAATTTTTTTTTTATTTTTTAGGGGGAGGGAGGAGTGATTTAAAAAAAATTGATAAATTTGTTTTTTGGAGTCTATCTAAATTTAAAATTTTTGAAGGGGATTGTTAAACAGGATTACAAATCAAAAAGTTCCAGATATTGATCAATCGGACCCGGAATTTAGTATAGCCCTAATCAGATTCATTTATCTTAGAAAAATCAAAGAAATCAGTTACAAAATTTATTGTAAATTTAAATTTTTTAAAAATATCATTTAATATTTTTTCTTTTAAAAAACGGCGTTAGATAATTGTATTTTTAATAAAAAAAGCTATACTTTAAGGATGAGTTTAATATACTTTAAAGAAATGTTTTCTATGTAAACATTATGTAAACTTTTTATGATTAAATAATTTAAACTATTAGCACGTGCAATAAATCAAAATATATCCTTTATTGTACATATTATTATTAAAAAAATTTTTTTTTAAAAGGTTTTCAATAAAAATGGTATTCTATTATACATTTTAGTATCAATAATTATTTCAACAATAGAAAAAAATAATAAAAAGGAATTTATGGTGAAAGACGAAAAAATTAAAAACAACTTACTATGTTTTTAGTGAAATATCACATCTATTCTCATGATAATGATATAAACATATTATTTGTTAAACTGGAATATCGTTAATCTAAATATGTACCTTAAATATCTACATTTATCGCACGGCCCTATAGGATCATATTTTCATTATCGTACAATATTGATATCAATAGTTTATTTGCGTACAATATCGGATATTGATAGTTTATTTGAGTATGATCTGCATTAGCCGTACGATAATATAGATATTGACATATTGTATGGTGGTATTTATATTGGTTAATGTCACTTCGTGACGTTAACCAATATAAATACAACACAATATCTACAAAATATATATATTGTATACTCTATTGTGTTACACCAAAGCAAAATATGGTGGAATGATTTGATAGGTTAATGGATAAAAGAAAGGGAATTAACCGTAAATTATAGTTGAAATCAATTAGACTAATTGCAGAAATCAAAAAATAAAGAAAAAAATAACATGATCGCTTATTATCGTTATAGGCTGTGGTTTAAATAGTTTCTAATGTAGTATGAACTACGGTTATTTGTTCAATAATAAAATGTAGACTTAATAGTTGCAAGGCCAATAATTAATTGTGAAATGATTAAATGATGTTTGAAACCATTATGATATTACATCAAAATTTCTCACTTCTGAAGGATTATCAGCTATATTAAGAACCATATTCAATATAAAATAGCTTTTCCTTTAAGTTTAACTATTAGAGTTAAACTCATTGTTTAAAACATCAATAAGTAATACTAAATTTTAAGTACACAGTGTATGAATAATAAATAAAAAAAGGTATTAAAATAAATTCGTCGATTATTTAAACCCCTTAGCCAAAATACGTTACGAATTTTTTACAATTATAATCATAAGGATTTGCAACGGCTAGTAAAATATATTCATTGAGCAAAGCAATATAAGAATACATTGAGTGGTATATTGGCAGTTGCATATTTTAAACGATCAAATAATAATCATCAAATGAGCATAAAAAAATTTTTAAATCTTTTAAATCTTTATTTATATAGAATATTAAATATAAAATCCAATAATATCATAATGTAAATAAAAAAAACTAAGATAAAAATTTAAAAAATAAAATAAGAGAGAAATAGAAATAAACTAACTTCGATACTCAAACTAGTAATTTAAACTATTTGACTTCGACTTTCACATAAAAAGAAACTTCATTCAATATTATTTTCACTATCTTGACAAATTTCGTTTAATTCTATAAAAAAATAAATAAATTAGATAGGGAATATTAATTAATAACTAAAATTATGAATAATAATAACTCACCTAATTCGCTTAATTGAACATCTAAGCATTCTGAAACTGCTTATTATATATCCCATAGTGTTCAAATGTTAATAAATGTAAATAAAATAATTATAGTAATAATAATTAAGAAAATACTTACTTGGATTTGCTGATGTTGATTGAGTAGCATCTATTAAGAAAAAGAATAACATTAATGATGTAAAATGGATAATATGATAAAGTAAAATTAAATTTAATTACCTGAACTGAACTGAAAAGATGATAAATCTGAAGAATTTACTGGTTTTGGAAAATTTTTGAAATTTAATAGTCTACTAGTATAAATTGCTTGTGAATGTGTTTGAATATTTTCGGATCTATCATCATTTGACTTGCTGTTTTTAAATTTTTTTCTTCTAATTTCATCACTTTCTTGTGTTTGATAATACAATTCGCTATTTTTATCATATATTTCCTTATTCAATTTACTCAATATCTGATACAATTCTTTAGTGGTTGGTCTATTTCCTATTTCAGCATCCCAACATTTTATTATTAAATCTGCAAGTAACTTTGGTATGTCTTTAGAAATTGTTGGTCTAAGTCCTTTACATATTTTAATAGCTAAAAATTCATTATGAGGTATATCATTAAAAGGAATTTCTTCAGAAAGAAATTCGTTCATTATTATTCCAAATGAGTAAATATCTGTTGCTTTTGTATATTGTTTTCCACGTAAAACTTCTGGTGCCATATATGGTAATACTCCATAAATTCCTTCTTCTTTAACTGTTTTCTTTATATTTGCTGGTTGACACATTCCTAAATCACTTATATATGAATCAAGTGTATCAAATAATATATTTCCTGAATGAAAATCTTTGTGAACTTTTTCAGCATTATGAATATTTAAAAGTCCATTTGCAATTTGTTGTAATTTATCAACTTTAAATTCATAATTGATGTAATTTTTAGATTCATTTAAATAATTTCTCAAATTTCCTTTATCACAATAATCTAAAACCATCATATACTCTTTATTATTTGGATCTTGAGTAATTCCAAAACATTGAACAATATCATGAAGATTAATCTGAAGATGAGATTTAATCTAATTATCATCATTATAAAGGAAAATTTCATTAATAAATAAATACAAATAACAAACTTTTTATATAGGATAAAATAAGTTTTAAATTACCTCATTTAAAAAATCTGAACATATATCAGAAGAATTATTCAAACTTTTTAATGCACATTTATCAAAATCTTTGCATCTATCCCATTTTTGATTTTCAATATCCCAATTTGTAATATATCCTTCAGGCCATTCTGCTGAATAAATCTTACCAAAGCCACCTTTTGCAATATAAGTGACATTTTGAAATTTTTCAAAAGGTATCCATTCAAAACATTTTTCAAAATGTACAGCATTAAGTTGTGAATGTTGTATTAATTCATCAATATCTTTATTTCCACTAGTCCAATTTTTAAAGTTATCTTTAAATCTTTTAGCATTACATGTTTTACACCAATTTTTTCCTGTTCCAGGTTCTTTACATTCTCCACATATTCCATATGCTTGTTTTCTTTTTTCTAAATCTTCTATATAAACTACTCTTTCATCTATATTTTCTGAGTTAATAGTTGAATCAATAGTAGAAATTGTAACATGGAACTTTTAATAGACAAAAAATTATTAATATTTTTAACTACAAAAATTCAATAAAATAATTATAATTATTAAAAATATTAAATTGCTATTACCTGATATGCAGGAGAATATTCTTTCCATAAATCTTTTGGCTTTTCATCCATATTAATTAATTTGAGTTGTGGATTATAATTTTAATTTTAGTTATATAAATAAATAACTACGTTACTCAAAATAAATTCAGAATTATTATGAGCAAAAGAAAAAAATTATGTTCAAATAAATTGTGCACATTCGTATTACTATTTGTGTTACTATTTGTGCTACTATTGAACTATTTTTGTTACAAAGAAGATTCGTAAGCAGCTGATCATCAGTAACCCGAAATGGTTAAAATGATTTTTACATAAGGAGATCCAAATTAAGTGCGAAGTAAAATTGTTTACTACCTGAATTTATTTTTCGGTAATGTACTTTCAAAACAATAAAAATAGTAACAAGCCTATGATAAAAGCTTTATATTAAAATCATTACCAAATTATATATCAAAAATAAATTTGATTATTTTTCATTAGGTTTATTTGTCTTTACGCTAGGAAAATAATTTTTAGATTAGTAATAATATGATTGGTTAAATGAACCTTCTCTAGTAAATATAGTAAATAAAAGAAATGTAAGGTATTTCATATTATCTGTATGGAGAAAATATTATTACGAAGATGACCAAAATTGAAAAACTGAAAATTTTATTGTATATACGTGAACCTTGAAAAGTTTGTCATACAATTTTTAAATTGGGTAAATTTAAAATTAAAAGAAAATTTATTTATATTTTTATCTCACAACATTTTATTTAATTTTGTATCGATAGATAATTGAGACCATGGCAATCGTATCTTCTATATTACCTTTGCATTAGTCTTACTAATCTTTGAAGAGTCGCAAAAAGATTAAGAACGAATAAAAATTATGATCAAATAGTTCCAAAAATATTAACAAATATTATTAAAAAACAGAATAATCTAACAAACTTATATTAAATATTATCTTTAATAAAAATTGTTTATGGATGTGTTTTATTTTAGCAAATCTTCAAAGTTGCGCTACTTATGGTGAAATAGTTATACCCATAATATTAAATTTATTTTTTCTTAATTATAATTTTTCTTTTAAATGTATTTATTTTATATTAAAAAATTAAGGAAAATTTATAAAATGATTAAAAAAATCAATTTACTTTTTCCTAAATTTAATAAAATTCATTGGTTGCTATAAGAGAACGTTTTAAATTATGCAATTAAAATATTCCCTTGACTTATTAGCAGCAAGTGTGAACATATCAATATATTTTGAATTTTTCATTCGCTGCTGTTGTTTACTAGTTGTTGATTCCAAAAATGATGACATTTAGAAAGTGTAGTGGACGATGCAAGTTTTGATTTTGGCGACCCAGATAAAGATTCTTCACATTTCTATAGTCAATATATTCAGAAAAATCGTCATTCAGTTCCGTTAAATAGTCACTTTATAAAGATGCAATATAAAGCAAAGGTTTGTCTATAAATTTTTCTTATGAAGTTATTATCGAAATAGTAATTAAATATTTTATGATCTACATTTTTAACCGATTAAATTGATTGAGGTACCTTAAGAGTTAGGACCCCAAAATATATATGTAGAGGTCAGGTGATTTTAGAAATTACTAAAATAGGTAATAAAATTTTGACTGGCATTATCAAAAATTCTCTAAAAAAGGAATGATCTGCATGATTTATATATTTGAACTATTATTATATAATAAAAGTATAATTAATTATAGGCTGCGCCGTAAAAATCATTGATATTCATGACTCACAGCAAGCTTTTTCATGAGTCATAACTTATATTTATTCTAGAAAATTTGCAATAACTCATTACACTACCACACTACCAATATAGTTTCTGATTAAATATATCAATAATTGTTGTCGCGTCGCGTAACAATTTTTACTTTTACGCGAAAATTTTTGCACAAACTTTTACATCATACATCATAAGATCATAAGATACAAACTCAGTCACAGTTACTAATAACAATAAGAGAAAAGTCTACATTGTTATCTTGTACAACTAAAAATATTATAAAAAGACCCATTCTTTTATTAAACTTTCACAATAATTTTTTTATCCTAATTTTTTTATCCCTTTCGCAATAATATTTTATAATATTTTTTTATCCCTTTCGCAATAATATTTTTTTTTTATCCCTTTCACAATAATTTTTTTATCCCTTTCGCAATAATATTTTTTATCCCTTTCACAATAATATTTTTTTATCCCTTTCGCAATAATATTTTTTTATCCCTTTCGCAATAATATTTTTTTTATCCCTTTCGCAATAATATTTTTTTATCCCTTTCGCAATAATTTTTTTATCCCTTTCGTATTTTTTTATCCCTTCTCTAAACTTTCACAATAATTACCCCGGCTACTCCCACACTTCCACTCCCACTCAACCCACACAAAGAAAAAAGTGAGAGACGAGAAGTGAGAGGTATGTTGAACCGTTTTCGTAAAGCTAAAGAGTGGCAATGTGTTACCCTCATTTCTGGTGAAGGTGAACAAGTGGATGCAATGATCAAGGAAGTTACAGCAACCTTGTGAGCTGGCAGGTCTATCTATGATAACTCTGTTAACTGACGGACCTGGCTGAGATACGAATAAGATCTTCTCAGTGTTGAGGTCTACTATTCCGCAATGAGGAATAGTTA